CTCAATCTCACAACCCTAAGATCATGACCTGAGCAGAAATCAAGACTCTTAACCAACTGAGGCACCCAGGCGCCCCCTGCCTTGTATTTTCATGTGAGTGTGGTACCTTAACATAGTTTAAAAGTTCTTGGTAAGGGAGAGACCGTGGCCTGTGTTTTTTATACCATTAGCAGTGAACCTTGTATACATTGGTGCTCATTCGATGATTACTTCGTTGACTTTCCAAGCTGGCCAATACTTCCAAGTCCTTCTTTCACCTGGGACATGACCACAGGGGAGTCCTGTAGTCATGGTTGTAAAACCGCGTCAGGTTATCAAATGACCACTCCCACAGTAAGTGTACAGACTTATTCTTAAATATAAAGGGGTGAGGGGGAGATAAAGGGAGGGAGGTAGTCCCGGGGAAACAATGTATCTGGCTACTCTCTAGTCACTTTGGTTCACTGATGTATCTCAAGTGCCCAGCCCAGTGCTGGATACATAGTAGGCACTGCACAAATATTTTTCAAATAAATCAATAAATTAGAAATATTGAAAATGAAAAACAGATAGATTATGCTATGCAAAACTATGCTTTATGAACTATAATCCATCTAAGACAACAAGAAATGCAAAAAGAAGAGCCCTGCATTTGTGTTTGAGAATAACTTTTAATACATCATCCCAACTCCCAGACTCCATCTTTGAAAATATTAAGTGAAAAGGAAGCTATTTTTCTCTGTGTTGTATGTTTTAAGCCCTCAGTATCTAAACACCTTACTGATTAGAGCTTCAAAGTTTGGTAATTAAACAGTTCAGAAATGTTAAAGTAAGTATTTGGCATTTGAGAACTTACGTTGGTGATTCCTTAGATTTACTCCCTAAAGAAACAAAATTCTAAAAACCAATAATATTTATATAGGAGAACCACAGCTTTTCAGGGAACCACAGTTTGTTTTTTATGGTTTATGCTTTATATGGTTAATGCTTACAATTAATCGCACACAAAGGGGAAGTCAAAATGTGCTCACTTAGGTGTCTGCATGACCAAGGGCCTGAGACAAGGTTACTGGGATGCTGTCTCTAGGGCATGTTGCATCATGATTATCTGCTGAAACCCTATGCTTAGCACATTTCTCACTTCCCTTCCTTTGTCAGGATTTGTTCATATCTCTTTGCAAAATTTTCTCAGAATTAATCTTCTCATTTGTTCCCATAACAAGGTAAAGCTTTTTCTGAAACATGCATCGTTGCATGAGCAATAATACCAGAGGGTAAAGCAAACACAAGCAGCATATAAACTCAGTTGTGCAAAAAATGCAACTTTATTTTTCATATATCAGCTTAATTTCTAATTTGAGCCCTTGTTTCTCCAGGAAGGGGGGAAATGGTCCATTCTATTTGGAGACCAAGGCACCATGGAAAGGATGGGGGATGGAGGACTCAGGCCTTGACATCGATCCCCCTGGGGATTCTCTGAGTCAGCTTCACACCAGACCTTCGATCCTCAGCCAATGGCTCCTTGGGGGTGGGGAGTCTACGTGAACACATCTAAGCCCTGACTGCTGGAAGCCTCCAAGCAGCCACATCCTCCCTGGGGTCCCGCTACTTCCCTGGGTAGCAGAGCAGCATCCCAGGCTGCTTTCACAGACTCAGGCTACTTGGGGTTTCTGCAGCCTCCCCAGAATAGCAGGCTCCAGGCTCCTGGCTGCAAGACCAGCGACATTGCTATTCCCCCCACAACTGTTATGTCATCTTCTCACTCCTGCCCCAGTCTCCTCAGCCCCTTGGCCCTTACTCTTCATGCTTCTCCCAAATGTCAGCAGTCCCAAACCAGGAAGGCTCACGTCTTAGAGATTCTAAGCACAAGTGCTAGAGCGGCTCCTCAAGGGAGATGGGGAAAAAGTAAACTCCCAGGAGAACATTAAAATATTGCCTAACATTTCAAAACATAATCCCCAACCCAAGGTTCACATCTTAAGAATGTTTCTAACATATCCTAGTATCTCTCCAGGCATAACTTTTTTGAGCTTTGCCATCTTGTGGAGTGAATAGGACAGAGAGTTTCAGTCTTATTTTGCAGAATTCGAAATTGAGGCACTGATTCTCCAGTCTCAGCATATTCCACACCAGGCATATTAAAACCGTCAGTGATTTGATGGACAGGAAGAGATGGTTGTTAAATATTTCTGGCTTTTGGGAACTCCCACTGGACCACACCTAACGAGTTAAACTACCGTATTAATGAGCAAATCAAATATGACAGGACCTGAAAGTCATCACTCACTTGCTTCAAGATAAGCCAAATATATTCAGGTACCAAGTGAATGGTCACAGTCACGGCCAATTACAGAGATGGCAATTCAGTCAGCCGTGCCATCTACAGATTCTAAGGGCACTCAGTAGTATAATAAATCTAGGCTCTCAGTCATCTTACTAAATATTTAAAACAGCAGAGTCTAGGTATTCACCTTGCTTGACAGACTCATACATTAAATATACTGAGTGGAATGTACTTAAATACGCTTATTGAACATAAACCTCAGCTCACTTTTCACACTGCCGATCTCCAGAGCGCAAGTGACCTGATGCGGGGCCACTTTGGACATCTGACATTTCCCTGGATTTCAAAACTGATTAGAAGTAGGTCAAAAGGCCAGGGGATAGTACGGAACAAACCAAGTAGGTAGGGTAAATAGGTCAGTTGAGGTGTCAGAATTCAGGCTTTACAAAACAGATCCCAGATTCCCTCTTCTGTTTCAGAAGAGGGAAAACAACATGCAGAGATCTGAAAACCTCTTCAGCCCCTTCCTTACGTGATCTTGAGCAAGCTACGTACCTTCTCTAAGCCTCGGTTTCCTCATCTGTCAAATAGGAAGAAGATTACAACTTGCCCACAGAGCTGGTGAGCAGATTGAATGAGGGAATGCATACCAAGCGCCCAGCCAAAGCCCTCAGGAAATTCTCATTGTGGTTTTGATGAATCCGAAAATGGTATGCCAACACAAGAAGCTCTACCTTGAAACACAGTGACTGTTAACCTATGTTTATCTATGTTAACCTATGTTTAACCTATGTTTATCTATGTTTATCTTTGTTGACCTATGTTTATCTTTCTGTGGTGGCTACCAGAATGGGGCTCAGAGACCTCCAACTGCAGGGAGCATAAGTGACCAAGCGCCCCAGATATCCTTGCTGCCCGCGTGCGGAGGCCACGCCTCCAGGGTGTGCTCCCACCGATGACTCAGCGAGCGTGGGGTCACCTCTGACAGTTGCCTGGCTCCAGAACATCCCGCTGGCCTTGCTGGTTCTTCCTAGGACTGCAGGGCAGCCTGGGACGCCCCGTTCCCATTCTTCCCTCCCTCCCTTGCCTCACAGTCTGATGCTCTCCCAGGCTAACTTGGCTCCTTCTCTGTTTTCTCTCCCTCAGGAATTTGCCCTGATAAAAATCTTCGCACGTTTAATCATGTCTTAGCATCTGCTTCTCCGAAGACCGGGACTAACACACTTTCCCGAGGTTCTCTTCTGGCAATGGGCAACTTAGACTTGTCCTGGGAGGTCTGGACAGTATGTTCAGCTCTTCCTAAGCACCGTTTCATCATAGCGCCCACCGGGGAGCAGTAGTTGGGAACCGGGAATAACACAAGTCTTTGTTGGCTAGGCTGGCAATTCTGGCAACAGTTTCTAATAGATTCTTTTTTTTTTAATAGTATTTTTTTTTTAAGATTTTATTTATTTATTTGACAGAGACACAGCGAGAGCAGGAACACAAGCAGGGGGAGTGGGAGAGGGAGAAGCAGGCCTCCCGCCGAGCAGAGAGCCCTATGCGGGGCTCGATCCCAGGACCCTGAGATCATGATCTGAGCCGAAGGCAGACGCTTAACGACTGAGCCGCCCAGGCGCCCCTCTAATACATTCTAGTAGATTAATACTCCCCTTTATTGAAGAAGAAAAAGCCTCTGACACCCTAAAATACCACGAGTTTGCCTTGGCCAAGGCTTAAACACACACACACACACACACACCACCACCAAAGCTGAGGTGACCATGCAAAGATCAGTCTGTACTGCAGATTAACACAGACTGCTTTGTTTTATGTAAACAAGGCAACTGGCTCCGTGAGTTATCCCTTCATTTCCCACACACATACCTTCTCTTTTCTCCCTACTCCACCCCACCTTCCTTTAAAAAGGTAACGCAAACAAGAGGCCTAACAGGAAAGCTCCCGGCACCTAATCAGCCCAAAGACCCAACTCAGGACTTGCTGATTCTCAGGAACCTGTCTCGACGTCTGAGCAGTAGGGTGCTTTTGACGGGGCAAACTGGGGATGGGTCTGAGGACTCGAGAAACCCGAATCTCTGAGTCTTTGAAAAATAACTGAAAGCAAAGGAGGCACCTGGGATCTCTTTCTGAGGTCTGGGATCCAGGGTGGGGCAGTGCCAAGGACTGACGAGGAGGACGGGACAGCTGAAGTAAAAGCCTGCTGCTCCCTTCAGATGCTTATGTTGGAACGCATTCCAGGTGAGAAATAACAATAATGACATAGCAAGCAAACGTCTGTCAAACAAAAGTTTGCCAACGCGTGCTTCCACACACAGGCAGCCTCCGAGTATCGGAGCATCTCGGTGGGCTGACAGGACAATGCCGCGCCTGGGATTCGCAGATCCGGAAGCGGGCCGCCGAGCGGCTGCGTGACGGGCCGTAGGTGCCACCTCGGACG